TGAGAAGGACAGTGGTCCTGTGTGTCTTGCATGGGGGAGTGTGCTGCATAACTGCCCTGATCATGTGTCACTATGATTTTAATGATCAAATTGATCATTACTTTTATTTGATAATTCGACCTCATTCCACCTCCATAATATCTTTCTAAGCTTTTTTCAGTGAAGTGTACTTTCATCTTTGATTAGACTTCCTCTTAATCATTCCTACTTGACCCTAGCCACCTCCTTCAACTGTGGATATTGATGAACAGACCCAACTACAAATCGCAATGAGTCTCAGCAAGGAGGATTCAAAGAAGGTAGTTACGTTCTTAGTGGGTACCTTTCCCTTAAGAATAAGTGCATGTACTACTTAACGCTGCCTGGATTTTATCTGTGGACTTCATCGCCTTAAAACGCAATCTAGTATCAGAAGGTCGAGACTAATCCAATGAGCCTGCAACTTTCTATTCCACTAACCCAAGCGGTCTCCTGCTTCAAAATCAGTATTATGAGTTTTAAAATTGCATCTCAGGTACTGGATTGTTGTTGGAGACCATAAACATGCTGTCCTGTGCTACATTCAATCTCTCATTTATTTATATGTGTTTTCTTTTTAGCCAGCTCCTCGTGCACCAACCAACAACGTGGACTTGGATGAAGACGCCCAGCTTCAGTTAGCCTTGAATTTGAGCAAAGAGGAGCACCAGCAGGTATTCTTTGTAAATTGTTTCGTTTTTTGGTGTAGTAACATTAAATAGTGACTTAAAAAGGTGCTGTTAGGCGTGTTCTATCAAAAATCACAACTGGAATCGATCGATTAAAAGTAAAAAGAATTTATTCCCTGTCCAATACAATTCTAATATAGAGCTCTGGGTCAGACCACTATCCCTGATGGCCTATTCTACACAGGACTTAGTTTCAGGCAGTCTGAACACCTGCATCTGTCCCTTAACCCAGTATATATACATTCACAGAAATATGCATAATGATATGTTGATCAGGTTCACGCCTTGGATCCTCCCTGAAGCCTCTCCGTTTATGGGAATGTCCGGATCTATTTAGGTTTGGTGCCAGCCAGGATGTCACCTTGTCAGCTGCTCTGTACAGAATTTCCTTCAAAAGACACAACCTACACAGCAGTTTCTTTAAACACATATATCAGATTTCAATAGTTAAGCATTAATTGCATGACTTCATTAACAACATTTAAACAAATATATGATTTCAGCATTTAATAATTGCATGTGGTATACTCACAACACTTTATTATTTGTTACAGCCTTCAGTGCTATTATTATTGAAGATCTTTTTTTTTTGTGTGTGCTAATTGACAGGAGCAACTAAGTCGTCAAGGAGATGAGTCAATGCTGATTAGGGCTCTTGAAGAAAGCAAACGTGAGATGGAGGCTAAAGGCGGGGTATGAATTACTGGGGTATGAAATATCTTAAATGGGGTTTTTAAGAGTTAGTAGTACACATCGCACTGGAAATGAAATTGACTGATTTTTACGTATTACTTGGCATATTTAACACGTTGTACTTTTTTTTGTGTGTTCTGATTTAGACAGCTTTTATGGACTTGGTAGATATTTTTGCAGTGCCTGCAGATGCACCTTCACGGGACCCTCAGAGTGGCCTACACCAGGCGTCTGCGCGAGGTGGAGGCAGGGACCCATGGGACTCACTGGGTCAGTCTCAAATCTCAAATATGTCTGATGTTTAAATATGTTTTGTTTATCTTGCATGTCTGTAAATTATTTCTAAGGGTTTTCATGGCTGACTGTGTGGGTTAAGCAGGTGGATTGATTTTCAGTCAATGCAGGTCATGTGATCATCTGTCAGATTTTTCCTACCCTAAAGCAGCTCAGTTAGACTTAATGATAATGTACATATACGAAAAAAAATATTTAACATGTTCATATTCTAGAATACCAATTCTTCCATTCAATTTTTTACTTTACTTCTTTCAAGATGCAAGTATCATGTCACTTATTTTAAAAGATTCAGTGTCACCAGGGTTGGACTGGGAACAAAATTTGGCCTTGGCATTTTTCCTCTGGACTGGCCCACCGTTCAGTTCTGTAGTTCCCCATTACGTACACTATGCACAGCGCGTATGCACCATTGCGGGCTGGGGAGGGGCAAAGGCTTAGAAATGTGCATTCTAAATTGCTTTTCTTTACTAACAAACAAAAATCACATCAACCAATAAAACGCTGAGTTTTAATAAATTATGTTTACACACCAAACGAAAAAAGAACTAAATAAAATGTAAAAGACATTTCTTAAACCTGAAGTGCCCGCCTTAGAGACCAATGACTTAAAACAGTGAGCTTAACTACCTCACATGCCTCATCTGACCACATGTCTAATGTACCAAATGCTGTGGCAAACACGCCTTGTGAACAGAGTGTGTAGAAACCGTGAGAGGCTCTCTAGAGGAGGGGTGTATAAAACGCACCATTGGAAATATTACTATCGGTCCACTATTAGCCAGTTGACCATAGACTCACTATATTAAATAGACAGCACACCGGATGCACGCGCAAACTGAGTGAAGGAAGAGCCGTGGCTCCATCCATCTGCCGTTGTTTGTTGAACATGTGCAGAAACATTGACATCTTAAAGAAAAAATAATACATATAAATTACATATTTTGGCTATTTTAGCACAAATTATGTGATTATTATCAGAGTTTTAATAATACTTGACAAAATTTAGATACTGTTTCACTTGGCCACAGCGCTTTATGGGGAGGTATTCATTGGGACTAGCTAGTGACAGAGGTTATTTTCTGTAGGTGTGTTTGGGCCATGAGTGAGGCAGATGTGTTCGAGACATAATTTTGTACTGTTTCAGTATTACAATACAAAAAAAAAAAAAAGCCAAAATCTGAGTGAACTTGTGCGCGCAAACCCTTCATGCAGTAGGCAGTGCAGTATATTATGAAAAATTTTATCAGGAGGATTGGGTGGGCCTAGATGTCACTTAAATGTCTCCAAATGGAACCGTTTTTTTATTATTGTAATTATTTTTTTCCAAGATGAAGGAACCAACCTGTCGAGACCTGATTCTCCGTGGATGGCACCTCCAAGCAGTCCCCCTCCGCCCTGGGAGCCATATCAGGCCTCCGCGGACCCATGGGACACCCCACTGAACAATGTCCCTGCCTCCAACAGCAGGACGTGGGCCTCTTCTGGCAGTGCAGGTGCATGTCATTGTCCAAAACATTAAAATGTATCATCTTCACCGTATTCACTGAATACAAAATACATTCTGATTTTTTTTTTCTGATTTCAGGAGTAGATCCATTTGCTGCACCATCAGATCGGATTAAAGGAGCTGGAAGGGTACCCTCTCCTCGTACTGGTAGCCCATCAGGTTTGTCCATTATTTATTTATCTTTAAAGGTGCACTATGTGACTTCTGGCTGGGGTCCATCACCCGTTTGTCTTCACTGATATGTTATTGCTTTGCCTGGAATGCTCCACAGTATAGCATTAAACGTATGCATCTTTTAATAGATTCAGTTACATTTATTATGTTGGAGAATTGTGGGTGGCCTCGCCTCCTCAGCGATCTGAATATGGGGCTTGTGGTGACACCTGCTTGTCCACATGTAGATAGATTAGTATTAGTGAATGCTATTCCAAGGAACTTTCAAGACTGAGAATTAACATTTCCATGGAAACTAGCAAGTGGCAGACCCTTCAACAGAAAAGTCACAATTTTCCCTTGTTATTTGAAATTAACATAATTTTGATTTAGATGGTGATTTATTTGATGAAGCCATGGATGGCGGCAAAATAAGCATTAACGGGCGAGGTGATACAGCTAGTCCGGAGCTTTTTGACCTGACTAATCTAAGGGAAAACTTGCCTCCTGCTTCCAACTCTCGCACATGTCGAACACCTGAGTCATTCCTCGATCCAGCTGCAGCCTCACTTGTAAATCTGGACAGTTTAATCCCAGTAAATGAGCCGAAGAATAAAAACCCATTTTTGTCAGGTAAATAATCTCAGAAATTTTAAATGAAGCTATCAACTTAAAAATTGCATTGATGTATTTTTGTTTTTTATTTCTCCAAAGGTCTGAGCGCGCCTTCTGCCAATAATCCATTCCAAACTGAGCAGCCTAAACTAACACTGAATCAAATGGGCTCTGGTTTGATTTCTGCTGCTCCCAATAATGCCTCTCTTCCATATAGTGCCTCGCTGCCTCTGCCTTTGAGCCACCAGCCCGCCAGCCTCCCCTCCTCTTTCACCCACCCCACCCAGCCCGGGATGGACCTGCTGGGGACCATGCCTGAGCCACTGCTGCCCCTGTCAGGCAATATGCAAGCAGCACAAGCCTCACAAACCAATCAAAACCCTTTCTTATGAGGAACAACTAAAGTAAATAAAACTTGGAATTTCTATAGGCAATGATTTCCCATGACTGGCACAAATAAATCTGATGCATCTTGTACTATTCTTAGTCATTATATAATGCCATGTGATAATATAACCCTAGATTGATGCAGATTTGAAACAGGACTGTTCATATTAACTAGAAAAGTAAAAAAAGCCATTGTGACAGCTTTGAGTCCAATAAATTGGCTTCAAGAACTTTTCTGCTGAGTTGAGCAGTTGGCAATATTGAAAAGCACAGTTAATGAAATTTCATCGACAAGTTTGATAAAGACTTTTTCATTTGTCAAAATGTCTCCCTGGATTGCAGCATATGTTTTTAAATCTCTTTGATTTCAATTTATTGGTGCTTTTTCATGTTTCTTCTACAAACACTGCACATGGGGCTGAATGGAAAACTCAAAACTTGCACATGTGACAGCATAAGGTGCCTGGAATAAATTAATGATGTAGTTTCTGAATGCTTCAACATGATATGCTAAATATTAAAAAGATTTTTTGGGGGAAAGGGGGCGATCAATTACCACTTACAAGATAAGTTACCATAGTATCAAGTTTCTACAAAACAATGTCCAGTAGGTTTAAATAAGAAAAAAATACCCTCGCCTCTTGTGGAAGGATGTATTTTTTGGTTTACAGGTTACATTTGCAGTCTGTTTGATTAGTTAAATAGAATCCGTCAAGCCGTTCATCAGTGAAATACAATTATATAATAAACAATAAAAATCTATAACATTTTTACAATACTTGCTGGTTATATCAGTATTCCTGAGGTGGCAATTGCCAAATATACAGTACCTAAGTTTAAAAGCTCACTTAACAGTGACAGACTCCAACCAAGTAAGCACCTCCTGAAGCCCTTGTCCAGAGGAGGCACTTAGTTCCATTGTTGTGATTGACTGAGTGGCAGATGCAAGAATATCTTCTAATCGGAAAAGTGACTTAATTTCGATAAGACTCATTAAGCAAGGGATGTCCCTGAAATACATAGAATAATACCAATACATTTATTAAGATATTAAAAGTATTAAAATAATATTTCGAAAATATTCACTTTACATGTTTCAGACATACCTTTTGTTAAAAATTAGCAGCACAGAAACATCTTGAAGAGGCTCAGCTGCCAGAACTGACAGAAGCTGGATGCAGGATGAAGATATCTGAGAAGTGTTGGATGCGTCCACCATGAACTATAAATGCCAAAGAAGCATTACTATGACACATTGGGTCACAACTGTGTTTGTTTAAGGTAATAACCTACTATGACTGAAGAGGCATCACTGTAATAACTTGGCCATATTGGGCTCATGCAGCCCCCAAGTTCTCTTAATGTCACCTTCTTTTTCCTCTTCAAGCTGATGTCTATTAAGTTGGTTCCAACCTGTGAAAGGGAAGAATTTTAGATAAACATTTAACGTCGTACTGAAGCACCATAAAACATTATCGTGGTTTACCGTTGGTAAAGTAGAAGGGGGTGCCTCAAGCTCGTCAAAGCCATGCCTACTAAACCATAAAACATGTTAAGAAAAATGGCAACATCAGCAGCTACAGAGAAGAACAAAAACATTTGACAAATTGTATTGCTTCTCATGGGGTGACCATTAGCGCAGCCCTATACCCACTGCTAGATCCAAAGGATATTTTGCAAACGCTTTAATAGCAGAGTTTTCCCGACACCTGTCGCGCCAAGTAGCAGACAGGTGTCAATCTTGATCATGTCTGTTTGTCCGCAAGGACATAACGGATTTTTAATCCAGCGACAGCAATTAGCGAGCATAGCCTACGAGCCTAGCATCGCAAAACCAGAAAGCCTCATCCAGCGCCATGGTGATATCCACGTGACCCCAGAGTCTCATGGTGATTGGACAACAGCACAAGGAAGGCGTATCTTTTCTCTGATTGGTTATGGTAAAGGAAACACAACAGTCTGCATGCATGGTTTAGTTACTGTTGTTTTATTTACAGGCATAGGCTGTAATTACTCAGTATTTACCCATCTATAAATCCACATCATTGCTATGGAAGCCAAACTAAAGCAAGAGTTGGGTACTTCAAGGCTCAGATCAACTGGTCATTCAAGCGGCGGCTGTATCAGCGAGGGCCAAAGTTATGATACTGACAGCGGGAGGATTTTTGTAAAGATAAACCATAAAAGCGAGGTAATCTTTTCTTTTTTTTTTTGTATTTAGCTTTAGATTAACGCCGTCACGCATACGCAGACATTATAGAAACACAAAACTGTAGCTTACTGTAAAGCTCCCACATTTTTTTTTTTTAGGCCAAATTGATGTTTGATGGCGAAATGGCTAGCCTTGAAGCCATCTTAAAGACTTCAACAATTAAGGTTCCGAAGCCTGTGAAGGTGATCGAACTTGACAGGGGATGTGTATTTGTAATGGAACATCTGGACATGAAATGTCTCAGCAGGTAAGATACATCCCAACAACACAGTTACAAGCGGTGTGCAAATACCATTATTACTACATTATGCAGGCACTCACAGCACCTTGGAGAACAATTAGCAGACATGCATCTTTATAACAAGAGGCAGTTGGAAAAACTAAACAAAGATCAACAGACAATTGGTAAGGTACATATTTAAAGACATATTTAAAACTTAATGCAGTTCATTCTCAACTGCAGTGTCTGTTGCAACTCATTCCTTTTTAGGAAAAGGAGCAGAACAGGTGGATTCAAACGTAGTGGTAAAATTTGGCTTTGATGTTTCTACATGTTGTGGATACCTACCACAAGTAAGACCAAAATATAACAATATAATTGTATAAACTAATTCATTTGACAGCAACTTTACTTTTTTTTGCTTTTCTCTCCCTCAGGCTAATGACTGGCAGGAAGACTGGGTAACGTTTTTCACCAGACAGCGACTTGACCATCAGCTAAATCTAATTGAGAAGTCATATGGAGACAGAGAATCTAGAGAACTATGGGCAAAGTTGCAGGTGAGTAATGTAATTTATATGGTGATTAGTAGGATTTGTTTACCATTTACTGTTACTGTTTACTTTATTATTATTATTTTTTTTAGCTTCAGATTCCACAGTTTTTCAAAGATGTGGAAATCGTCCCTGCTTTGATTCATGGTGACTTATGGAGCGGTAATGTGGGAGAATGTGCAGAGGGTCCTGTCATCTTTGATCCTGCTTCCTTTTATGGTCATTCTGAATATGAATTGGGTATTGCAGGGATGTTTGGTGGGTTTGGTAAATCCTTTTACTCTGCATATCATGAGAAAATACCCAAAGCCCCAGGCTTTGCCCAAAGACACCAGCTTTACCAACTTTTCCACTATCTGAATCACTGGAACCACTTTGGGGGTAGTTACAGGGGCTCCTCAATAAGAATAATGAAAGATCTGTTAAAATAGTCTTGAAAATGTATGAGCATACACAGCTGTCACAAGACATTCCTATGGATTGGAATGTAAAATACTATGGATACCCTACTACATTTAATGTACTCATCCCTTTGACAGAAAAAAGCAATTAACATGTGCAGGAATAAAACGTATTGTTCCATCAAAGCGCCACATGTAGCAGGTAATGTATCAAAAATAAATTTATTTTAGTCGTGTTAAAACATAAAGACATTTAGAAGGTAATTTTTTATCACAGTAATACTACTACTACTACTAATAATAATAATAATGATGATAATAATAAAATTCATAAAACAAAACAAGCCTCTGTAATTTATTTTCTTTAAGAATTTTTAATTTTACGTGACGTTTCTGTCTTCACATGTCACGTGATTGCTTGTTCTAAGTGGGCTTCCATACCAGGCATGGGCGTGAACTAGACTGAACACGACATCCGCACACCTTAGGAAAAACTGTTCGTCATTATGCTAAAATGTGTTTTAAATTGACCTAGAAATACATTTTACTTTATCGCCAATAAGCTTATTAGTATGTTATTCCACGCGTAACACCGATTGTCGCGTATCTGTTTACATTAAAAAAACGAAAAACCACATGCTAATTGAAACTAGCTAGTTGTTACAAAAAATACCTCTGTAACAGACGGATTGATAAAAATGGCTTTACCTGATAACGACGGAGGTATGACGGGAGGAGAAGGGGGAGACTCGGATATTCTGGCTAAAACCTGTTTATTGGGAGGCTTCAGTGACAGCGATGAGACCAAAACAATCATCTCCAGCCTTCCAGAAATTCACGGGGATGTGACAGCTACTGAAGTTACAATGCAGAAGATTTTGGGTGAGATGCTTACTACTACTACTACTACTACTACTACTACTACTACTACTACTACTACTACTACTACTACTGTTAGTAGTAATAATACTTTGGGGATGTCTTACTTAGGGGTGTGCAAAAATATTGAAATATCGATATATCGTATCGTTTAATGTGATGATACAGTATCGATATCATGGACTGCTGTATCGATATATTGTCAAGAGTAATTTTTGGTATATTTTACTAAATTATTTTGTGTAAAATAACTTCGCACAAACTTAGTAAACTTTTAGTATAACAACCATGAGTTAGCCTTTTTTACACTGAACCATATCGAATCAATGTGAAATATATTGTAACGAATCCTGTCGAATCGAAAGCTCACTGTAGCTCAAGCGTACCGTATCGTAGCCTATGTATCGAGGTTTGTATCGTATCGACAGCTTCTTAATGATATCCAGCCCTAGTCTTACTGCTATTAATTGTGTTATCTTTTTTCAGTTATAATGAACAGATATCAAGAGCAACCACATCTGCTTGACCCACATCTTGGTACCATATAATTTCCCAGTTTTGCCATTTTGTTGGTAGTCCGTCTAATGTCTAATACCAACTTTTTGCATCTAATAGATTGGATGGTGAATATGTTGCTGGAATTTATAAGAAGTGAAACATCCCCACCGTCGTTAGTCCATCTAAGCTTCAAGTTTCTCTATATAATCTGCAAGGTTTGTTGGTTTCATGTAGATTTTGCATACTGTGCATTAAACATAACAACAAATCAGTCTGTGTATGTTCTTGAATATTTTGAACTAATGTGCACAATTGACCAGGTGCGTGGCTATAAAGTCTTCATGCAGCTGTTTCCTCACGAGGTTGCTGATGTTCAACCTGTTCTGGACCTACTATTAAGACAAGATCCCAAAGACAACGAGGTAAAGTGTAAAACTAAGAACATATGATTAACATAACTTTATGGTAGTTTGATATTATTGTGTTAATCACTTTTCCATCTTTTAGACCTGGGAAACCCGCTACATGCTTTTATTGTGGCTGTCAATGACCTGCCTAATACCCTTTGACCTCTATCGGCTGGATGGTCATTTAGAGTCTGATGGAGGACATGCGAGAGAGTCAACTATGGATCGTATTTTAGGCATAGCAAAAGTAAGTGGCAATATTGTAGTATTTTATGAATTACTGAGTTAAATAATGCTTTATGCTAAATTAATACTGTGTTTTTGTAGTCTTATCTGGTTGTAAGTGACACTCCTAGGGATGCTGCATCAGTACTGGTATCAAAGTAAGTATAACAAGTGATGATTGTAATATGTTAAATATAAGCCTTTGGTGAACACAATCCAGTAATTTAAATATTAGTTTTCAACTAAGTTGTAGTTGTAATATACTCAAACACCAGAGGGCAGTGTAATCCTTTACATGTTTTCACTTACATGTTTGTGTATAATCTTCAAAGCTTGTTTTGAACATGCCTCTGCAGGTTCATGACGCGCCCAGATGTGAAGCAGAAGCGCCTAGGAGACTTTTTAGACTGGAGCCTTACCATTCTTTCCCAGACCAATGATCAGTCTATGACTGATATTATGGTTCTGGATGGAATTCTGCAATCTCTGGTAATGCATAAAAATCATGGCCTTAAATACCGCATTATCAGCAGCTGAGTTTCTGTGAGTCAAGTGTAGTTATTTGGCAATGCATTATTAAGTCCTGGAAGCAATCTGCAAGAGCAGACATGACTAGTACGTTTCACCTGACGCAGTGTTAACAGGTGTAGAATGCACCTGCTGCTGTGTGTGTGCTCAAAGCTAAACGGTTACTAAATAAAAATGAACACTACTGTTGAAAAATTATATTGATGCCTTTTAGACATGCATAGATTTCCTTTTATTATCATCACAAGAGTCTTGAAATCCAAAGTAAAAGTAAGTAATTCAGCCCTCGAGCAGTGGTAATGTTGGCCAATCCACTGGCACTGCATGTTTAGAAAGCGGTTTTGTGTATTACCTCTTTCTAAATGTCGCTGTAGGCACTCTGGCTCTGTAAAATCTCTTGGTGAGCTTAAAGGACCTCAACCTTTTTGATTTGTTTATGATCAAGGAGGGTTATTTTAGGTAAAAAGGCTAGAAGAAGCATTGCATTACATACATTTTTGTAATGATTTAAATATTTGTCCACCTCTCTGTCAGATCTATAGTTTAAAATCAAATATATCTCTTTGATGTTTTAAAATTAATAATATTTTGTTATCATTCTAGGCCAAACTCTTGAAGCATGGAAAACGAGATGATCTCCTTCAGTATGGTAAGTCCCAGTTTCATATTTGATTTTTATTTCATGTTACTTTGTTTGTTCATGTTGTGGTTGATTTTGTCCTAAGCTCCTACAGTACTTCAGTCTCTTAAGCAGAAACACTTGTCTGACAGTAACCAAGCCATGCTGCGGAAACTAGGAGTAAAACTAACCCAGAGGCTTGGCCTCACTTTTCTCAAGCCACGTTTGGCTTCTTGGAGGTAAGACTAAGATCTGCTGTATTGTTTGTATCCAGAAGCAATGGTTAAAACATCACCTATAAATTATACATTCTTAAATATGCAAACCTTTTTCAGATATCAAAGAGGAAGTCGTTCACTTGCTGCTAACCTATCCATGCCCCAGTCATATCCTGTTAGTCCTAATTTAGAGCCACAAGAATTGGATGAGGACTATGATATTCCAGAGGAGGTGGAGACTGTGATTGGTTGGTTTGATCTTTATGTATAAAAAAATTATTATTGAAGAAAATCATATCTAAACATGTTTTGCGTATGCAGACCATCTTCTTGTAGGACTGAAAGATAAGGAAACCATTGTGCGGTGGTCTGCAGCTAAGGGGTAGCTATGCATCTTTTACAACTTGTTTTTAGCCTCAGAGTTGCATTTAAAATAATAGATTGTTTCATTCTATGTAAATGAAGGCATTATTTAAAATCTCTTGTTTTATGTTTCAGTATTGGGCGTGTGACTGGAAGACTTCCCAAAGAACTGGCAGATGAGGTGGTTGGATCAGTGTTAGACTGCTTCAGGTAATCTCTCGTTTCTGTTTTAAATCAAATCTTATCCATCTTCTCTTTGTCATACTGTCAATATGTAGAATTCACCAGTTTGCTTTGTTTTGTTTTTTTCATTTGATTGTATGTCTTAATGAAGCTTTCAGGAAACTGATAATGCTTGGCATGGAGGCTGTTTAGCCCTGGCAGAACTGGGCAGGAGAGGGCTTCTGCTCCCTTCTAGACTGAAAGATGGTAGGTGTTAATATAAGACAGATGACTGATATATAAACATATTTTATTTGTTCAATGTCTAAATACATTTGCATTGTTTAGCAACAACAGTTTGTATCATAAAGTGTTCATTTCAACCCACATAAACATTTCATCTGTAGATATAATTCCTCTGATAAAAGTTTTCTTTATTACTATCCTTGTGGCAATAGACGTGTTACACCTGCTCCCCTTTGAATAATTTAATTTCAGTGCTTTAACCCTGACATTGTCAAATAACATTTTCATGTGGAGGCTTGTAGTGTTCAGGGTAAGACATTTTTGTCCTTTGGCATCAGTCCTATATTTCTACAATAGTTGATCTGTTAGCAGCAGCGAGGCCTCCTTCTCACAGCCCGTCCTGTGGTCTTTGCCCTCTTTGTTGGCTTGTGGTTGTCATTTTCATATTTGTCTTTGTTTTTCCGTTTCACTATCTTTGCCTCAGTCTCTGTTGTACTTTTTGTTCTCTCTTGAAGTGTACTTGAGGATTCTTCCAGTTCTGTGACACCTCTGTTAAGATCATAAGAGGTTGCAGAGCTAGCACTGGCCAGTTGACAGAGTGCTAGTGCTGCTGTCTGCCTTTGGTCACAAACTTCCTCTTCATCCATCTCCACACCCAGCTCCCACTGAGGGGTTTCAGTTGTGCTCCAAACTGAGGGATTGATATGAGATGGTCGGATACTCAGATTGAGAGGCAATTCTTCTCTGCCTAAACTGTCACTGCCATGTCTGAGTGGAGAACTATCTTCCTTGTCATGGCTTCTTGTTGAGAGGTTGAGTGGTGCTACCTCTTCTCTGTTATCAGTAACCACTGAACGCTGTTTATCAGCTGATCTGAAAATGTTAAGAAGACTAGTTAGAATCACTCTAAAAAACAAAACAAAACAGTATCAGTAGTTTAGCTTACCCTGGGTCCACATGCTGTCTTCTGAGTTGCATTAAAATCTCAGCAGAGCTTTCTTCTCTTGAGTCAGGGCAGCTGGGTTGTGAGAGAGGAGGTGTGTACTGTGGTCCCTCTGAATCTGTTTGGACATTGTTTGAGTTGCATGGTCTATCAGGGGACCCCGAGGCTGAACAACCCTCTTTAGGACTCAGTCTAGTTGCTTTATCGTTGTTTGGCCCTTGGTTGTTCTCCTCTACCGGGCCTGTGCTATGACTGGCTCGACTTTGTAAGTAAAACTCATAGTCTTTTGACCCAAGGCTTGGGCTATACATGTCAAGAGGAAGATATCTTGGTCCCGTTATTGGCATGGCAAGTTCATGTGGTCTATAGAGGCTGTAGTGAAGAGGAGGAGTGGGGTGGAGAGAGGGGCAGTATCGGTAAGAGTATGGGGGGAAGAGGGGAGGGTAAGTTGGGGTAACAGGTTGAGGTACAACTGGCCTTTGTGGGTCCAGGAACTCAGGCCTGAAAGAGTTGGAGTTTGGATCACTTCTGTGGTGGTTTGCAGTGAGGTAGTATGGCGGATAGAGGCCTTGGTCTGTTAGGATATATGGGGGGTATTCAGGCACCATTGGAGGGGGGTAGGGTTTTAAAGGGACGGGTGGTGTCGTCATAGTACCCCATGGAAAGCCAGGCTGGTGTAAAGTGCTTGTCTTTGGATCTTCTAGCTTCACTGCTGAAGGTTTCTCAGTTCCTGTTGGTGTTACTGGGGAGAAGGCGGATGGGCGTGGCAGAGACATTGGCTCATTATTTTCTGTGTTGTCTGAATCAACAACTGGACTGGTCAAACTCTCTCTCTCCTTGTTGTCTGGACTATTACATACCACGTCTACCTCCTCCGTGTCCTCCTTACTCTTATCCTCTTCTGTTTTGTTCTCCCCATTCATGTTTTTATCAACATTTTGAAGTGCTGGGGAGGGGATAGGACTGTCCTTAGTTTTGGGCCCAAGAGCTTTGACTGTAGTTTTGATCTGTCTTGATGCTGTCCCATTCTTCTGCGATACGAGGGAGATGGAGTTTTTACAGAGGTTATATTTCATATGGTTGAATAGATGGGACTTCTCATTGCAGGTGAAAGGACATTGGAAACATTGGTATTTGAATGGTTTTCCTGGTGGTCTGGGAATGTAGTGTGGTCTCTTTGGTTTTCGCTCCTGAGCAGTTTCCATTCTGGTTCACCTTGAATACACACAAACCAAAGCATTTACTTAATTATGTCAAATATACACACAGCTTTTATAATAGTGGCGCCTTATGCCCTAAATTCTATGTATGACAGTCAAGATGTAATTAATAGAGTAGTCGAACTGGTCCGATCGTCTATTCTTACTAGAGGGTTTCTCATCTTTGTTTTTCGCTGCTAAGGCAGAAAAAATCTCAAACCACTTAAAACACTACACCCTGAGGCTAGTTTATTTCTTTTCCAGCTTATTTGGTTGAACATGGGGCATGATTTAAGTTAAACAGCGCTTCTTATGCAAATATCCTGTCAAATGTTTGCATAACAACAGTGTGTATTAGCTGAAAAGACACTTTCTACAAATGTGTTATTGTGAGTTTTGATATCAATCCACTCAACCATACGGTTAATAGAAAGTCAGATATTGTCGGCAGGTGTAACAAGACTAAGCATTTATCAACATGGAGCTGGAGGGCATGCAGAAACTTGCTTTCACTTGCAGCACTACTAAACTCAGCGCTGTTGGCGTGGGAACCAGAAGGCACCTGCTTCCCATGACTACACCTGTGGGATGCACTCATCCTTCATTCATCACGGACTGATGAAATTCCCTTTCCCAAGATGCACCAATAACAAAAAGACCAAGACAGTTTCAGTTAAATGTTGAGTTTCAATACCTCCACAATAGATATTAACCTAACTATTTACTGCCAGGTTCAAGCCCTTGAGGTCCTCCTTTGAAATGAAGCATCACCTGGAGCAGTGAGTTAAGTGAGGCTAGGTGCTGGCGGCTGCTTGGAGAAACCGGCTTGTCGTGCGCTGTCGCAAGAAGTTGTCACTCAAGTTTCTGTTCAACTGTAGGAGCATGCACAGCCACTCCCTAAGGACTCAAATTCAGTCTAAAGCCCAATTTAACCTAAAATATATTATTCTCAAAGATTAAGAATTTTTAATTGTCCATCAAAACGATCAGATAAATGCAGTATATAAATGTGTTTAATTAAATTTGTAACATTAACAGTTAGTTATACAGTTAAATTATTTTAAAAAAATACAGCAGTACCATTTTATTTCTACATTATTATTTTTCACATGTGACTGCAAATGTTATTAAATCCTCCTGTTTCACAACAAACCAATCAAGTTGCTGCAGCAGGTGCACACCTCCTCAAATGGTAGGTGAAATAATGAGATAATCAGAACTACAAATTCACATGACAAAAACATCAGATGGACTAATAGAAGCCTCATGTCAATTCAGGTTGCCTTTTGAATAAACCTCTAAGCAAACAAATTAATTAAATAATTTATTGCCTTACCTGCTCAGGTTGAAGTTATGATGTTAGCTGTTTGTCGCTGGAGGAAAGGACTGCCAGACACCTATGATTCTCTGATGATACTTTTAGTTTGGTTTTAGGATGTTTTTCTCGCCAAGGTCTTAGTAAGCTCTTCCGTGTGACCATGCATGTGTGCGCTGCGATTAGGGATGTTAGTGGTGTGGTGACTTCTCCTGTCTGAGGTGTTCACTCACAGTGGGTGGGGCTTTAACCAAAACAGTAGGGCCCTGAGGCAACAGTGATGTATCTGATATTAGTCAGGCCTGGAGCAATGATTTACATGATGAGGATAGGGACATTTGCATTGTTTATGTTTACATTTCCTCTTTGTTATAGAATGTAAATAACCATAGCATCCCTTGTGATCAGGGTCTTTCCATGGTGCTCTCAATGACACAATTTTTGTCCCACTCATTACGTCGCACTAAAATTCCAAATTAAACCATATCTGACCCTTTAAACTGTACTTTTTAAAGTGAATACCATAGAGCTTTGATCGGTATTGGATGCAGGTGATTACAAGACTACTTTCCCACAGTGGAAAAGGAGGACAAGAGGCAGGCACTAGCATGAGCATGCTTTGGCATGTGACAAGTTTGGATCCACATGCCACTAAAAATTGATAAACCGTTATTGTGCTGCACAGTAAAAGGCTGTATAATACTGTTTCCTTAGATTTTAGATTGTATTTATGTCTGTTTGTTTTCAGTTGTGCCACTGATCATCAAGTCTCTGACCTATGAGGAGAAGCGGGGAGCCTGCAGTGTGGGCTCCAATGTGCGGGATGCTGCCTGTTATGTTTGCTGGTCTTTCGCCAGGGCCTATGAACCTAAGGAGCTCACGCCTTTTGTTATACAGATCGCAAGGTAACAGTTTACTTACTAAATTGTAGCATTAAAAGTTAAAAGCTTTAATATTATTCTTCTACCTCTCTCAGGTTTTGGTAAGAGTGGGTTACAGCCAGGGCTCATTTCATTTGTAGTCACAAACTACACTAGTCACAAGACCCAGAGAATAAAGATTGGTTTAAGTTAAGAAGAGCAAAAATTGTCCATGTTTAGTTTAATTTTGATTTGAAGGGACAATGTACACAGACATTAAGCTCATAAAAACAGCGATGTTCTGCATGAGATTATTGCTAAACATCTACTTTCCATGTGGAGTCCCTTGTGACAATGTCATAAAAGTGAACAATATAAAGGTCTCACCCTACTTTTGCTGTTTGGTTTAATGTAGTGTCTATGTTAAACCTGTATTGTGAGGCTTAATAAAATAATATATACAATGGGATTTTACAGAACAAAAGAAATCAGCTCCATTCCATTTATGAATGATAGAATAAATGTGAGGATAAATTGATATCTGTAATTTGTCTCTTAAATCGATGTACTTACTCTATTGTACAATGTAACAAGTACAATGTAACAAGATGAGAACATAACCTAACCCCTCTAACCCTAACTTTAAGCTTTAGTACCATGAAATTACATTGATTACAGTACTGTAAAATAAAGGGTCTGCAGTATATTTTTAGTGGCTGTACAGGGACTGAACACCTTTCCAATCAATGTAAAACTTTATTCCTTTCTTATGTTCTGTATGTTAGAAGATTCAGTTAATGTATTATTGTTGTTTGGTAGTTGTTTGAGAATAATAAATAATTCTCGAGGTTTTAGTCTTAGACATAAGAATGTTGGAAGATTTAAATATCCACTGTATACATAGTGCAGTCATGACAGTCCCAGGTCCTGCTGCACGTTGCCTCTTTGTCAATAGTAAGGCCAAACATGCTCACAGCAGAGAGCAGGCTCTGAGCATGTTTGGACCTGTGGTCCTGACTGTGCAGAGTTAGACCAGCTCTACAGAGTCAGTTTGAACCCCTGAAGTAGTATTATCCAGAGTCGCGACAGCACCCGCCCTCTCCCGTCTGCAGGACTGCCAGGTTTCGCCTGTTGCTGTAGGTTTCGGTCGCCGTTTGGCACTCGTCTTTAGACAAGCTGGTTCCTGCTCAATTCGTCACAGCTTGATGACATTTGGAGAAAACTCACTTTTGCAAATGTGGGACTAAGTGACTTGCGGGCACAGAGTTATGCCCAGAGTTACACAGTCATACACTTTAATTGTAGCAGCTGCAGATATAAATCATAAACTGTTCTTGAGGGTAATGAGGTGATTTCAGCACTGGTTTTGTTTCCAAGGCCTCATGGCAAACCAGTGAGTAAATCTAAACAGTTTAGCTGCAGGCCGGATTTCTGTTGATTGGGGCCAAAGTGAAGAAGGGCCAATCGGGTTTAGATCTCCACACTTTAACATAACATTTTATCAGTGTAACAGTTCTCAGTGTTTTCCTTATATGTGCTACAGTGTCTTGTTGTGTCCATAGTGCTCTGGTTATCACAGCTGTGTTTGATCGAGATGTGAACTGTCGCCGAGCTGCGTCTGTGAGTCCTCTCCTCATCCACTCTGTGCTTTTCATGAGATACAGTTACATGGTAAAAATCAACTTTATGTCCCATTTTGTTTCAGGCTGCCTTCCAGGAGAATGTTGGCAGGCAGGTTTGTAACCACAGTATTGAGTACTTATACAGTATGACTAATAGAATTACAGTAATTTCAAATACTTTATAACTTTTATTCAAGTCTTGTTCAAACTTGCCTTGTTAGTATCTGTCAAACGCTTAATTATATGAAAAATAAAAGTGACCACTAGTTAATAGCATATTGCTAATTTGTTACACTATTCTCACTGTCTCTTTTTATAATAGGGGACATTCCCTCATGGCATTGACATATTGACGGCAGCAGATTACTACTCTGTTGGTAACCTCAGCAACTGCTATCTGAACATAAGGTATGAATGGGATGTTGATTCTTCATAGCTTGAGGTGAAATGTACACAACTCTTCTCAAACTTCGTCATTATTGTAAAGCCTCTCCTTGTGGTCCAAAGCAAGAAGAAAGTGAAAAATGATCAGATGAAGGCTTTTTGGCAAAATGTTATCTCGAAATAAAAATAATAAAGTTTAAAAAAGTGTGCTATGCAGTTTGTTTGTGTGTTTGTTTGTTTTTTCAATTTAAAACCCTCTGTTTAACCATAATGATGAAGTTTGAGAAAGATAAAGTTTACTGAAATAATCCAATAATCTCTTTTACAGTGTTTATGTAGCCAACTTCCCCGAGTACACGAAAGCACTAATTGACCATTTGATAGAAATGAAGATTAATCACTGGGATAGGTAAGCTTGATATAGATATTATAGGTTCTCATAACAGAATCTATGATTAATCATGATTGTATTTTTTATATATTTATGTCTGATGTTTATTTTTGACAGTGTTGTAAGAGAATTTTCCACTAAAGCACTCCACAACCTGACACCACAAGCCCCTGAATATATGGGAACTACAGGTAAATGTGGCTGTTATCTGTACATTAGTATTAAAGTGTAAAACTTCATAAAAAATAATGATTCAATATAAATCCTTTCTTGTTTGGTTTCAGTACTTCCGCAGCTCTTACCGGTGGCAGTGGGCATCGACCTTCATAGTCGCCATGGAGCCATTTTGGCTTGTGCGGAAATCACACATGCTTTATATAAGCTGGGCCTGCAAAACAATAGGTATAATTGTGTATTCATTATGTTAAGATATCATATAATATGAAAGTTATTTAAATGACTGGATAATGCTTATTTTGTTTTGACAGATCGGTGGTTGACATAATTTCTTCTGAGTGTGTAGAAGGATTGAAAAATATTCATCAGATGGTTTGTCAACTTTTAACTACTTTAAATACGTTCTACTTAAACTTTAATGCTCTCGAATAAGTTATATTAATTTATTTTCCTCAGATACATGACAGAAAGCAGTACAGGTAACTATTTTTTTAATTTTACAAAAAGATTTTGTTTTTAAATTTTATATATTTTGTTTCTATTAGGGGTTACGGCGGAGAGTTGATGAGACCTGCAGGTACTTTATTATTATTATTAGGAGATTAGATATTGAAGCTGCTAAAGGTTATGAAAGTTATGCTTTGGTGCTTTTTTGCAGTGTGCTGTCTCATTGAAAAGCTTTCCCTTTCCAAATTGCCTGTTAAGGATGACCCAGTCATTGGTAAGTCCCAAAGTCTCCCATTTTACTGCAAACAAACCACGTTATGTACCTGTGCTTATGTAAAGTGTCATTGGTTTTCAGGTGGCTGGCAGTGGTTAATTGATGACACCATAAAAAATCTTCACCTCGTGTCCAGTGGAGCTCTAGATAACATTATGGTTAGTTTCTTTATTTAAAAAAAAAAAAAAGTTTTTGTTAATTTAGCTAATATTTTTTTAATTTGTTTAGGCTTCTGTTGTCACTGCATTATCTGCGCTATGTGAGGAGTACTACCAGATCGAACCAGGCCAAGATAATTCTGAAGTGCAAAGTAAGGAAACCTGTAGATTACAAAGTTATCGTAACAGTGAATATAATTTACATAAAATTGTGTCCATTTGTGTCCAGATGTTTTGATATCTCAGTACATCAACGGTCTCCAGAGTCCACAGATGTTGACACGCTGTGGATCTGCCCTGGCTCTTGGTGCTTTGCCTACATTTTTGATCCATAGCAAAATGAAGCAGGTGTGTTAACTTAAGAGGGTTTGTCCAGCTCTCAGCATTAAATCATTGTCTGACCATTTTATCTGCAGTAATTTTTATTATACTAAATTCAATCTGTTTTACATCAGATCCTTGAAGGCCTACGACAGATGTCGGTAAAGAGCCAAGAAGAAGGCAACTTTACAGAAGCAAGGAGAGATGCAATCAAGGCGATTTCTCAGTAAGTACAGACTATCGCCAAAGAATTAAAGGGAGTGTATAAAGAATCTTTATTTGAAATTTCTAAAACAAATGTCCACAAATAAGAAGTAAACATGTTTAGTCCTTATCACTGGCAACTCAAGTTTAGTTGTACTTTTAAACAGTAAGAGTGCAATCCACATACATTCCTTTAACAGAGGTATTTTATACTCTCAAAAATGAGAATCTTTTCTTAATTTCTGACCTCTTTTTTTGGTTTTCAGATTTAATGTTTGAGGAGTCACAAGCCTTAAAGCTAATATAATAACTGTTGCTACATGACATAATTAGTAGTTGCAAGTTGGGTAAAGGCAATTTACAGTTTCATTCTATTGTGTAAAAATCTAATCCTGATTTGACCCATGAATACTTGAGACACATTTGTATTGTGTTTTTTTTAATGTGTATTTTGGTCTTCTTTTTTCTTTCTTTGTGTGGGCTTCCTGTTGCCTGCTTATTCAAACTACAATAAAACCTCGACATCATCCTTACTTTTCCTGCCATACCTGAATGACTGCCCCTTGTTTCTGCCTGTGCCCGCTCCTTAGAAATGTAACTGTTTCCTGACTGAGGTTTATTTATTTTTTGTCATTTCTTTTCAAACAGGGTGTGTGTGAAAGCTGGAGTCTGTGCTGATGGATGCCCAGATTCAGTTCTATGCTCAGAAAACCTTCCAGAGGTGTATGAAGTGTTGCTTAATAGTATGAGCGACTACACCACTGATAGTCGAGGGGACGTGGGGGCCTGGTTAGTGCCTTTTCTCTCTCTGCATCTCAAACATGAATGCTGCACTGTTTGCACCTAAGGACACAGCCACATGTTTTTCATGACTGTCTCAATTGTAGCCTAAAGCCAAGCTTACCTGCCCTCCAGGAATGTCACCGAGCTAGTCACTTGTCCCAACAACATGGGATGGGTGTGATCTAAGGAACATTTAGACTTTTTGTTGTTTGTTTGTGATTACATGATACTTCTTTTTTTTGCATAAAATTCCCCTGAATCTATCAAATAATGTCTTTTATATATCTTTAAACATAATCATATGGATATATTCTGAGTTGTATCAAAATCATGTTTTGGGGTGTGACTTTTCAAAGAATGCACCAGACAACTTCACAAAAACAAATTGTTACCTGGGGCCATGGAGCTCATTTGCGTATAAACTTATGGAATCCGCTGTAGGAAAATGCAAATACCAGCTCAATGACACATATTTGACATTCATAAAAACATGACATTCATAAAATACATAATATTTGATTATTCCATTTTTCTTTTTTAAAAATTTTCTCAGGGTGAGAGAGGCGGCAATGACAAGTTTGATGGATGTGACTCTGCTAGTGTCTGGCACTGCTCCAGAAATCCTTTCACCGGACTTGTGAGTTAGAAAAATATTTTATTGCAAATTTAAATTGTGTACACTTTGTATTTATGTATGTTTCATTGTACATTAGGGTCAGGCGTATGATGTGCTGCTTGGCACAACAGGCTGCAGAGAAGATTGACCGCTACAGAGACCACGCTGGCAACATCTTCCTTCAGCTACTCCACAGCAATGACCCTGTAATACCACACATTCCCCACCAGGAGGAGCTGTTGGCCATTTTTCCTTTGTAAGTTTATTAAACTAATCTTTCACAGATAGTGCACCTGTAAGTCTATAGCATAGGTAACTTTTCTGGTGGAGGGTCAGCAACCTGCTTGTCTTCATGGAGATATAATTGATTGGAATGATCCACAATATACCATTGATCAATATCCTTCACTTAATTATACCTTGAAAAACATGTGTTCTTCTTACTGTGAGTGGGCTTGTAACTCTGATTTGTAATTTGGTCTGGTGGGACATTTGCTTGACTTCCATACTGTGGAATCTTCAGTCTTAAAATCAATAACATCTCCATGGAGACAAGTAGGCATCTTACCCTCCATCATAAAAGTTAAGGCAAGGCAAAGGAAGTTTATTTCTATCGCACAATTTGTACACAGAGTGATTCAAAGTGCTTTACAGAATAAGAGACATTAAAACCACAACATAAGCATATCATTAATCAACACACCTTTAACTTTCATTGTTGTTTTGATTTTGTTTTTGTGCTTTTCAGAGCGACCAAAACCACTCTGAACTGGAAAGCCCCGTCCCAGGCCTTCCAGTACATCACCCGCCTGTTGGGCCTGAGTCACTATCAGTACCACACCCTGCTGGGCCTCACTGTGTCCGTGGGCGGGATCACAGAGTCCACAGTAGGTCATCTCCGAATGGACAAGTCACACTGTAGTCATAGAAATGGGATTATCCTGCTCACACAAAAACAAAAGAGGCCACAGATCATCTTTTGTATTCATATAATCCTATGTTAGTATTCACTTGTTTTACTAGTTTAATTTATTTGATAGTTTTATTAGATCAAGGTATAGGTGAATTAGTATTGAAATTTTATGCACGCTGCCAATCTTACACACAATCTTAAACTCACTGAATGTAAGCATACACTTTTGATTACCTGTAATTGGTCTGATAATTGTTAGGCCTTTCCCAAACAGCTCCCATCTCTTAAAAGACCCAGTTTAGCTTGTTCCCACAAAGGGGAGTGCTGTGTGAAATGATCTAGCACCGATGAAGAGGGGCTGTTAAGGGAAGCACAGATGGTCCTTTAACAGGTGCACATAACACTGGAGAGCAGCCCTATGTGATATATGCTCCAAACGAGTTTAGTTCCACATTTATTGAGTTTCGTGAAGAAATGTAAACATCATAATTTAGTCATTAGTGAAGTCAGCTAAGCATGTGTATATTAAAGATGATGAAATCTGCATATATTTGGACAAGCAAGCAAATTAAATACATTTCACTTGTTTTACTCACTGGTAAGATGATGAAATAAGGCTGATCTGGATCTGTATTATAAACATCATGCATCTTAGTAAGAAATAGCATGAAAATATCTATAAAAATGTTGATTACTTAACTATTAATACTGGCGACAGGTGCCTCATTTGTTCGAGCCAATCTCACCGGTGAAGATTTGGACCATATGCTGAGAAAGTTTTACAGGCTGCACAATTCGCTACAGGTAGTTCACACTAAATTAAGGGTATGGCCAGCAGAGGGCGCCATCTGACTAGAGTTCAAATTACCAAAAAGCTTCACTATAAACATGGCTTTAAGTTTATTGTAACAGTATTTCAGTTATCCATTCATTTAGACTTTTGACATAAATTTTGATATCAAGTTGAGTTTTGGATTGGGTACACATACAAAAAGTTTCTCTTGACCTCACTGTAATCGTGCTAAACAAATTCTCAAAGTGACTTGTTTTGTTTGATTTTATCCTGGACGTAAGACTGGGCCCTCAACTGCAGTTAATGAAATCTGCCTGCATAACGTAACTGAAATGGACCGGTGCCCAAATAAGCAAAACCACAATTTTTTGAGTTTTTTTCTTTACCACATTAATAGCTTTTTGATGTTGAAGATATTAGTTGATTTTAGTTTTGCAATCAGTTAGTGTCATGTTACGTTTTCCCTTTGTCTGTTTTTGCTCCTCTAGACGTAGTTTCTGGACAAAAGAAAGTGATATGTTTGTGCAGAGTTTGGGGCCGAACATTGAGCCAGTGCTTACCATTCTCACTCCACATGGGTTTATTCACACAGCACAGAGAGCCAAAGCATTAACTTACACTTCAACTTTTACCTTAATAACCAACATTAAGCAACATGACACAGTACTGCATGTTCTCTTTTAAGTGCTTTTTGGAACGATTCAGCATTGAATTTATGATAAACAGTCTAAGTAGTACTTTTATATTGATGTAGTGATTAAATATGATTGATGTGGTCATTAAGGAACATGAATTTAAATACATTTTCCAGGTTTATGTCCCCTTTTTTGTAACGGCAGTTTAGTTTCTTAATAGCGTTATATATTATGCTAAATATATGGTAAGTGAGTGACATTATACTTTCACTGTACTATACCTAAATTCACTCATCAAAGTTACCATGTTTTAAGGTGTTTTTTTTTTTAGTAAAGGATAAAAAGAGTGAGTTGTAAGAGCTGACATTTATGTTTGATTATAAATTTTCTTCTCTTTTTCCTAGACTGTAAAGTGTACTTTCCAAAATGTGTTATATTCAGTTTATAATTGCATTCTCAAATTTTTATTTCCAGGTGCAGTACTCTTCCCATTGTTTATTAGAGTATCTAAAAGGCATCCAAAATGACTGCACTGCTCTCACTCAATTTGGAGAGTCCCTTTTAAGCATTTTTAGAGACAATCTTCGTAATGACAGGTATTATTAATCGAATATCTACTGATTTATAAGTTTTACAAATTTCTTACATCTTTATTTGGTTTTATTTTGTCTATTTCAGAGTATCAATTCCATTCCTTAAGATGCTTAACCTGATGCTTGCAAACAACTGCTTTGAAATATTCACCACAGAAGAGAAGTGGGTGTTTTTTTAATATCATTGTTATCTGTAAAAACTAAATTTAACTCCCACTTTTTTCCAGTCACCCGTTCTGTGTGGAGCTTTTGACCCTTTGCAAAGAAATCAAAAAATCTAAAGTTATTCCCAAATTGCGTGCATGCATCACAGTGTAAGTCTAACTTTTTCTTGCATGTGTAGACAGAATATATGTTCCCACTTTAAATACTGGTGTCTTCCAGGTTTTGTGGCTTGATCCAGTTCCAAGGTGATGTAAGAAACAAAGTTCTTACTCAGTTGCTGATGTTACTCTGTCATTCTTTTCCTGTGGTGAGTTTGTAAGATGTTGACAGACGCCAATGTGCACCAAATAGCCTTTAAATGAATGCTCTGTTGTCCTGAGTAAATGTGAGGGTTTGTTTTCTAAAACTACAGATCAGAAAGACCACAGCCAGCCAAATGTACGAGATGCTGCTGACCTACGATGATGTCATTGAGCCCGAAATACTGGATGATGTCATGACCTCGTTAAGTGACACAAACTGGTCGGTATATTTGTAATGTTAAAAGTAAAACTAAAAGTGACTTTTACATTTAAATGTAAAATGTAATGTACATAATGTACCTTTAATTGCTTGCATAAAAAGCAAGTGTTTGGTTGTAATTTTGTTATTCAACTTCAGGGAGAGCGACCTCGCAACTGTACGAACCCACAGAAATCAGATTTGTGATTGGTTGGGACTTCCACAGCCACAAGTGATAGCTAAGGTAACCTAAATATTTAACATGTACAAAAGTGGATAGCTTGTGAGGATATACAATATGCTTAATGAAATGTGATGGGTTTTTTTGTATTTTGTTTTTTTATTTGCAGCACCCTGTGACTTGAACATTGCAAAACCCATCAAACCAAGTGGAACTGAAATAATTAACTGTGCCTGTGGTTTAAACTATAGATTTAAAAAATAACATTCAAAACATTAAAATGTGACAATAAAACTAGACTGAGAACTGTTTTTCCATTGTCTGTCGTTCCTATTTGTAAGCCCTGGTGTTTGAATCTTATCACAGTCAATGACTATGGACTCTTGGTGGGATAGATCCTGCAACCACTGCAGCATGGTCATCTCTCTGTGTTTTCTTGCTGATCTTTATTATTTGTTTGTAATATTTAACAGTATAAAGCTTTCTTTGTCATATTTGGTTACATTTTTGGTTTCAGGTGAGCTGTTTATCCACTGCATGTTCCTAGAAGAACAACAGAGATGGGTGAAACTGAAACTAGTGTGTGTAAACTCCAGGGAAATGGCCTCTATTGGACCGCTCTGGCAGCAGATGCAGATTGTTACTGGCCTGGCCTCCCCCTGGGTCACAGGCAGACCTACTTTCTCCGCTCCACTGGAGGTGCCACAGTCTGGAGCAGTCCCAGCCCCGATAGCACTGCCCCTATGGTCACCTATGGAGCAACGGTTTGGTCTTTCATCAATAGACCATGCGTTTCATTAGCAGCTCATAGCAGCAACATGTGAGATAGTTTAATGCTCTACTTTAACAAAATTATTGTAGTTTTACATACACAAAAAATAGGTGAATAGCATTTTAATACATTTTTGGGGGGCTTACAGAACTAAAATAGTTCTGTGTACCTATATGAATGTATTGCTAAATAAGAAGATCCCTGTTTTAGTCCTTGATTTGAGCACTGTAACCTCACAGTTGGTTTCTCTCACTATAACTGCTATAATTTTGTACAGTGACAAATCCTGTTTTATTCAAATCCTTATTTTTACAATAGGTAAGAATCTGTTTCATACAGTAGTGATCATCTAGTGCCATTATCTATGTTTAAAAGTTTAAGCTAATTACCTTGCTCTATGGGATTTAAAATCTTATGGGGAAAAGCCCCAATGAAATCTGGAATTTTGTAGCATGAAATTCATAACGAGAGCATGTGGATACAATTACTTTTCATGAAATTCATCATTAACAGATCTATCAATGCTCATATTGTTCCTAGTGAATTTTAATAACCTTTGAGTAATATCGCTGTCTTAGCTTAGGCAGGCTGTTGTATATTTGTTATTTGGTCCCCTTTTGCCCTTTGTTGCTTCCCATGGGAGCTGCTGAATTCCTGGGTTTTTCAGTATTGCTATTGTCCATAATTCGACTTTAATTAATTCCAGGCTGGTTGGAAATTCCTAATGAAAACTAGTGTCTTTCTATGAATGCAGGTGAATTGACAGCAGAGCTTTGCTACAGTGCTCAAGGTAGACAGGAATGCTAATAATTCGAAAAGGCTTACAGTCGGTCTGCAGTAACCATAGTGATTCTTCAAATACAATGGTGCCCTTTTAAAGTAGAGGGAGAAGGGAGGGGCTTAAGATCAGTGATTCATTTTGGTGTGATATTCAGAAAGACTCTGGACTTTGCTCTGTTGACTGTTTGGATATTTGTGTTCTTAATTTAGGTGGGCACTGAGGGTTTTTAGATAGTATAGTATTGTTCATTTGAACCATTATTATTATATTATATATCATTACAAATTAATTGAAAAAGAAACATAAATGTGAACACGACTTAGCTTTTCCACCATTAACCATTATGCACTCCACCCTATTCAGTATGTACTTTTAGGCATTCATTTAGAGCAGGTATCTAACCTATGACCCGAGGACCAAATGCAACTCTCTGATAATTTTTTCCTCCCCTCTCAGGCTTTCTTGGTAAACTGCTCCAAATTATCATAAGCAGTACTTTTACTTCAAGTTTAGAAAACCTCCTCTATAATAATCACAGAGAGAAACGTGTGCGACAGACCATCTATTTAGGTTCCAAGTTTGAGTAAACATGTGGTGACTTGGTCAAATGTCTGCTAATTGCACCAATTTGAATGATTTTTAATGCTATGTGTATGTTTGGAAATGTGACATCACTTATTTCGAGGCTTGTAAATCTCAGTATGTTAAGAGGTGAAAGGTGTTATAGGATGGATAGGGGAGCAGTGGTTTTAGCATTTACTGGAGAGCGGCATTCAACTCAGCCAACAAATAAAAACTAAATGTAAATGGAATTTATGTGGAATATACGTTCATACAAAGTCTACAAAATGTCTGACGTGTAAAAGATCATGCACCCCTGAATGGACCTATAATCTGATGGTTTATATGATCAATCATAGGGCTTTATTCAATCACTGCAGAACAAAATCCATAACTCTCATTGCTTATGATTCTGATTACTGGACAATCTTGTTTACATCATGTGTCATGTCTGGTCTCTGACATGGGACAGTTGTGCACTTTTTAAGAAATGGGACATGTTGCTTGGGGACATTGTGTGATTCCAATTTTCTACATCCTGATGTGTATCGAGATCATGGGAGAACATGTAATGAAAATCACATCCCTTTTGAAATGTATTAGTGGAATGTCATGGATACAGAATAATTGTCCTCAGAGGAACTCTTTTTTTGTGTCTCTTACAGGCATCATGTTGTGCAGGATTTCTTATGTCAAATGTAATCAGACAGTGCTTACATTGCCAAAGCATAAAACAAATGGACATAATTGTATCTGGAAGGGCACCTGGCTTAAACCCAATGCGGATTTTCTTAATTATATTTTTAAATTCTTAAAAAAACATTTACAATAACACAGATAACACACAGATACTTCTACATATTACACTAATTCTATATCTCCTATATCTTGTAGTTCTATTTTTAACTTGACTTTTATTATACATGGCTATTATCTGCTTATTTCTCCCAGGTGTTTCTGCTGTGGGTCGTATGGCTTCAGCACCTGGGGACCATTGCCCCTCTATTAGTTTTATTAGTTTTATAGTTTTATGAGTCATTTTAAACAGACTAGCAATTATTGGAACCCTAATTGAAGTCATCTATTTATACTGCTTAGTCTGCAACTGAAGCAATACGGACCCAGGGTAGCGAGAGCGTTCCCAAACATGAGAATAGACAAAACACTGACCAAATCAGAAAGGAAAGAAATTGCAGTACTTGTATTCATACACTTTACCCCTTTACATAAATAGCATTCACAGTAATTACACGATTGATTGAAATAGAAGAAACACTGTCATTATGAATATGACAGCTGATGCGGTGTGCTTTCAGGAAACCGCAGGCTTTAAAAGTTTCCAAAAAGCCATAATCTACAGCACACCAAGCATGCGCTGTCGGCCGAGCAAATTACAACCTTGTCTGGAATTATAGTGATTTGGAAATGCTCTCTGGTGGATAAGAGGGGAATATGGGTTAATTGTTGCGCTTGTGTCCTTTTTATAGACCGCAAGTTAATGGCACATACAGGGGTATTTATATTCAAACACACACAGATGTCGAAAGATACATGGGCTAATTGAATATAAGGTCAATTTTGTACTGCATGTTGTTTTGATTGCCTTAGGGATCGCAATTAAGTCCATTTGCTTCATAATGGGGACTTTGTATTTCAAACCCACCGTCTTAAAAGTGATCTAACCCTTCGTCATGGTCTATTTCCTGCTTCTTATTGCTTTCAATGGTTGTTTTAAATAGTTGGCTACCTCCTATTAGCTGTTAATGTTTGGTCTTGGAAATCTTGTGGCCATGTTATGTTGCTGTATCTCTTTGACCTATAAGACTTTGGCATGGATATATTCTTTTAACACATGCTATGGGTGGGTATAGGGAGGAGGTTGTTGGCCAGCTGGTTTGTTTGGGTTAAAAATGATACGCTCGAGGCCTGCTCAGTGTTACTTGTGACCGTCTGGAAAATGTCTTGTATCTGACGAAGGACGGCTGCCCAAATATCATCACTTAAAGTTGTCAAGGTCTTCTTAATTAGATAAGATTATGGGTTTGTTTTCACAGTAGTTTAAAATTAGCCCCTTAGATAAGTTGATGTTTCCTCTTCTTTTCCCCTTATATATATTTTTGTAATTGATTTTACAAAAAAAAAAAAAAAACACTGTTGCAAGATACTAAGCCTACTTTTTTGTACTTGCACTTGGGGGGCTTCAGGGTGGATTCACACCTGATAATACAAGGTTCAGACTTAGAACTTAAAAATTGTTATTTCCTACCCTTACATTTGAAACATTACACTAACATTCTAACAGTAAATGTGTGCTCAGCTCACTTTAAAGGTCCTATATTACACAAACTTGAAAGTTGTGAGCTTTAAGCTATGTTATAATGCTGACGTTTTTGATACCTTATCAAAAACATGCCCAGAGTTATGTTTTGTTACACTTGACACATTTTTGAGTAATCCTTTACTTTTACCATATTTTCCGCACTATAGGGCACTCTGGATCATAAGGGGCACTGTCATTGAATGGTCTATTTTCAAACTTTTTTCAAATATAAACCACACTGGACTATAAGGTGCATTAAACGAAACACAACAGTTATAGGTAACTCAGTCAAACTTTATTTAACGCGTTCACATTAACTCTCAAAAAATACTATCTGAGAGCGCTAAATTGTTAGTGTATTCACAATAACTCATAATTGTTCAAACAGTTGGGCGATTACGGCATCAAGTACGCCCGCATCCCTCTCGTCATCCAAGTCAGAGTTGTTACTGTTACGTGGCAGTTTAGTGATGATTCTGGTGTTGGTGAAAGCTCAGACCACAGTTGATACTGATACCTTAGCCCAGGCATCTACGAACCATGGGCAGATCATGGCGTAAGTCGCTTGGCACTGTCTCCCTGTCTTGGTGAATGTGTGTTCGCCTTCTCTCATCCACTGCGCTCTGGATTATAAAGCGCGCTGTCATTTTTTGATGAAATTAAAGGCTTTTAAGTGCACCCTATAGTGCAGAAAATACGGTACTTTGACTACATCTAATGCTCTATTCCACCTTGTGATGTCATGAAGTGGTAGTTTACAAGCAATGACAGCTACCTTTTATCTTTCAGTAGAAATTGGCAATTCCAGGGCTGAAATTATCCAAATGATTCTAGTGATGGTGTATGGAGTTTGAAACTAAAATAATCTCAGTTTGAGAGAAGCCAAAATACACATTATAACATAGATCAGGGCTCTTTAACCCCCAAAATATGTGTAATATAAAGAAGTTACAGGAGATGCTGATTCACAGTATTTTTTGCCTTGGTTGAACCTCTCCATGCTTTTCCTTGTGCTCTCTCAGTGACTGCATGTGGACTGATGTGGAGCTTGCGCCTCTGGTTCTGGGCATGGGCCAGAATGAGCTCACGCCTGGGACCGTCCAGCTGCTCCATCTTAGCTCTGCTGCTGTACTACGGTTGTTTGTGACATTTGACCCGGCAGCCGCTCTTGGTGTGAGGGTCTACAGGAAGTGTGACTTGGGGCCTGGATGACCATTGGCAGCCTCCTCAGTAGTGCAGACTCAGGCCTTCACTGTTCCCCACGGAGAGGCCGAAGTTTGTTCTGGACAGGCGCCAAAGTAGAGGGGTGGTGGTGGGGGGCACGGCCGGGTCAGCTCTCTGGGGTGGTCCAGCAGTTACGTGTGGAGATGTGTATGTGGGATGTGCTCTGAGCCATAATGTTAAGCCTATGTTTTGTTTTTGCAAGATTCTATTATTTCTGATTTAGTGCTAAGCTTCTGGCCAATCAGACCGCTCCTCCTCCTTTCCTTGTATCCTGGGAATAAAATAACTGGCAAATAGTTTATAGATCAGTTGCCTATTTTCAAAATATATGCCTAATTCTGATCATTAGAAAGTTATGATAGGCAATTTATATAAAACACAATTGAGTGAAGTCCAAATTCAAAATTAACTCATGAGAGTTTAAATTTGGTAGAGGGTGCATAGGGTAGGGTAGAGGGTATTTATTCTTCGATGCCGTTCTTAGACTTGCTTAAAAGAGCCCCATGCTTCATTACCATTGTGAGTGGCGAGGTGCCGTGTTATCAGCAATATCAGTCTTGAGTTAAGGATCTCTGGAGTTTCTAAGGTAACAGTCGCTCAGAGAGATAGCCCTGAGGGAGTGTGATAGCGCCGCTCTGCTGGTCGAGGCTGTGTTATTCAGATTATTCTGTCACTCAATCGTCTCTGGGGCCTCGCGCACTCAATCTGGTCTCAATCTGAGGCACAAGCGCAGGGCCAAACTTAGGTCAAAATGTAAAGAGCTACACCCCCCCTCTCCTCCCCCTCCCTCCCCTTCGCTCTTCTCCCTTTCAGTCCCCTCCTCCCCTCCTTGGTCTTGGGCTGCCTTTGTGGCCACTTCCTCTAACCCAGTACCCACTTGTGGCTCTGCTCTACATTTGGTTTTCATTATGCGTCTCTGAAAGAGTTTGCTGATGATTACAAGGAGATGCTCTCTATGTTTTGCCTTCAGATTGAGTCTTATACATAGGCACAGGCCGATCAAAGGGCAGGGAAAGCTATTTTTGCAAACTAAAGCAATACTAAAGAATAAATGCTTTAGTCTACTAGAAAAGGACTTTAGTTTACTTTAGTTTGTTGCTTGTATTACAGGTGTTTTTGTTGTTGTTGTTGTTGCTAAAAATACCTTGGTAAACACACATTCACATGTTGTGAGTAGGTTTGCCTCTACACAGATATAACCCGTAACTTGGCCTGGCCTCATTTGCTTGACTTCCTGTAAAGCCATTTTATGAAAATTGGTACCATCTCCAGAAGGATTATAATCAAAGTAGTATCGAACATCAGACACTAATCAATACTAAAACTAATACTGAAACTAGATACTCACTAGAGCAGGTATCGATACTCATACTTATCGTCAGTCATGTTCACAGTTTGTGAATAGCTTTAGAATGATCTTGAGCTGTTTCAGAAAAAGTATAAGACCACATAGAACCTACCTGGACATCTGTAGTAATTTAAATAAGTACTATGATTTAATGTTGAAAATGACTATCCATTGTCTAAATAAGGAGTGTGTTTTTTTTCTTTTTTTCTTATCATCATGGTATCAGAATCAATATTGAGTATCAAATCTATTCCGCTTCATACAGGTCATACATAACTTTAATTTCTAAAAATGGCTTGCTTTTGTATTAAATTTGGGCTACTTATGTCAACCAGAAAACAAAAGAACAAATCTATTTCATTTCAATATTTTAAAAAATGCCAATTGGCCGACCTGAGGCATATATTTCCTTAGTTTATCCCAAAATAGCCAAAAACGTCTGTGACATATAGTATAGGCCTTATTTGGGGTTTGTGGGTCAACTCTGGGCCCAGTTGGATTTAATTACAGCTTTTGGCAGCTTAACACAGAGGTCACAAACACTGATTCCAGATCATTGCTGCAGTTTCATAAAACTATCCTCAAGAAGTGCACACGGTCAAACTAAGTTCATCATAGTTCGTTGAAACTGTATTTGACAATTTTAGCTCTTTTATTGTATTGGCCCAGATCTGCACCAGAGCCATATGTGTGTTTAGTGTCTATATATATGCAGCCAAAGATAACAATATTACTTCTACTATAGTTTTCCTTGCAGGATTGCACGTCAAATTGTTATATTTGAAATAGTTCTAGTCAGATTGTCTGTCCTGGTCCATGTATCCTGGTGTGGAACTGGTACAAAATAGGCAGCTGTAGCATTAGTCATGTAATACAATATGATAAAACACAAGTAAGTGGTTTCCGCAATTAGTTTTATAGTTTTATAGCTGGGCAATGCTTTTCTTGGATTGAACAAAGTTTAATTAGTAGGACCACTTGTGCTTTTGTGGTTTGGACATGTGATAACTAACCAATGTAGTTGACGTCTTTTTCTCAAGGGCACAGGATATTTCTGAACTTGTGACATTGCAGAGCTCATCACACGCCTCATATCAGATTCTGCTCTGATATGTCTTAATGTGCCTTTGTCTATAGTAACCATGTGTTTGTATGTTATTAATTTGATGGGACAGCCTGACTTCTAATTTCAGCTTTTGGCATCCCAGCTGTAAATTTCTCTTTGGCATGTTTACGTTCACAACTGTGTACGTTTTTGACAGTTTTTATTCAGAAAAGCTGTTTTAAGCATATTCAGTTCAAATATGATGACGTGTTGAGCTATCTGTGCGTGGTTAACTTGGCGTGCCGCTGTACCAGTAAAGGTGGGCAGTATATCTAATTATAACTATTAAAAATGTTGTTTGGATATGCTCATTTTTAATATTGAATATACTAGTATTATTTTTAGTTAAAAAAAATAAAAAATCTGCAATCCGTGCAAACAAAGCTAACTGAAAAGCTGCTGTCATCTTTCAAACAAGAGTAAAGTGATATTTCTGCACTTTTGTGGGTTTTATATATATTTTTCCCCCACATTTGTCTAATACCCATTTACAATATGTTGAAGCACATTTCTGGATTGCCAAAATATCTGATTACTCCTGATTTTCCCCCCAGTATATCTCAGCTATTTATTATATTTAACTTTTGATGTCACTGTGGCTGTACAATGTGCAAAGGTCTAGTTCCATGTTTCTATAGAGCGTAGCAGTGTCGCCTGCAGCCCTTGTTGTCTTTAGTTTTAGTAGTTCATGGCTCATTAGCGACCGGCCTCCTGTGAATGGCGGGAGCAGTTACAACGTGGCAGACGTGTGCGGGTTATTAACATGATAAATATCTCTGTGGCCGGAGCGGTGCCAGCCACTTGTGGAACATGTGTTTTGCATAAACTAACTCGGAGACTGTCGTTTGGAAGGGCTTCACTTAAAGAGGAACCCAGACCAGCCTGGTTATTCTAAGGGCCCACTTATTATATGGTCCAGATGATTTATAATCCTTATGGTGAAGTTGGTTAAAACCTTTTAAGATGGTGAAATGTGTGAACGACATTATCAGGACATTTTTGTTTTAAGGCGATGGCTCACAATACATTACAATGTCATTTTTACAGTAAATTTTATTTATTTTCTTAGACTGATGCTTGGCCTTTACTTTGAATATAAATCCATTCTTAATCAGTTTATTCCTTATTCCTTGGTTGACTGTGGAGACAAGCAGGTGAAATACGTATCACATCTGTGGAGAGGTGACCCCGCCCAGTAAGAATGCTTTAAATTATTTATTTTTGCAATAAATACATTTGAAATTTAATACAAATACAGATACATTTAATGACATACTGTGGAATATTACAAGCAAACATGTCTGTGGTGATGGAACCCTCACCAGAAAAATGACATAGTACACCTTTAAGTAAGTGGAAGTATAGTTTTTTTTTTCCTCAGGGTTTAATATTTTAGTTTAGTTTTTTCTTCAATAGTCAGATTGATGGTGTAGCCGCAGATCACTGACATGAACCTAATAAATGTTTTCCAATCAGAGGAATTCAGACATCCGCCCGCACCAGCTTCACTTCTCTATTTTAGGATCTCGAGCGAGGGGTGTGTGTGGGGGTGGGATTACACTCTAATATATTTAATCATTCCCATCCGCCGTGTGGGATGTAGGCTCTGAAAGCTCCTCAGCTCCTGCTCCAGGCTTGTTTCCACAAGACACGTTCTCTGTGCACTTTAAATGTCTGAAAAGACTTAACTGTACACCGCCACACACACTGGAGGTTTTGTGAAAATGTCTTTGAAACAGGGGGTATGTGCGTCACTGGTGTTTGAGCGGAGAAATGTGTTGAGGGCAGGCTAAACTGAGCTCAGAAGAGAAGAAAAGGGGAGAGGTTTGGGTTAGTACAGGAAGATAAGAGAGTGGATGTGGCTAGTGCAGTCTACTGGGGCTTCTATATTATGTGAAACTGACTCTTGTGAGCTTTAAACCAAGTTATAATGTTACCTCAACAGAAACATGCTTGGAGTTGTGTATTGTTTCATTCATATGTGTTTACGTTACCCTTTATTATTAGTCTGTTTACATCTGCAAAGCTCAAAATGCTCTGTACCACCTTGTGATGTCATGTGGTGGTAGTTTTCACCTCCTGTTGAACACCTCCGTTTACCTTTTGTTTAGTAGAAATGGGCAGTTCCAGGGCTATACTGATCCAAATCATTCTGGTGAAAGTGTATTTTTAAAGTGGAGTGGATGCAGGAAGTGGAGCACTTCCTGTATCAACACATGTCATCACAAAGTGGAGTATTGTCTGTTTGAGAAAAAAACTCGCGTAAATATAAAAAATAAAAGAAATCATAAATATGCATGGCCTGTGGTTAAACATACGTGAAAGAAACAAAACACAACTCTAGGTATGTTTTTAATGAGGATACAACATTAAAAGGGAAAAGGGGTATAAAGCGTTATGTTTTGAAAGATATAGAGGTCTGGAATGAATGAATTATGCATTAAATTTAGTTTTTTTTTTATTTATAGTTTGTCTCTTATATTTACAGTAAGTCATAACTGAAATTGTATATGTTAACTTGCTGTTCATATGCTGTTTTTTTCTTGGAATTCTGTCATTGTTTAATAGGGTTAGGCATTATAAGTACTTTTTTACTTCAGCCTAAACCCTTTCGGTCATGATCTATGGGATTGGAGTCTGTGTTTTGTTTTGTAGTGCTGCAAAATGACTGAATAAACTACTACTACTACGGATCAAAATAGCAACACCTTTCTTCATTCATAGTCCTTCATAAAACTAACCTTGTATTTTTCTGGATTATTCCCTGTAAATAAAGTCTTCCTGAAGTGATTACTGCTCATCAACATTTTTCCTTTCTACTTTTGTCCAAGACTCAGTTGTAGAGTCCCAATAATGCTATCATGTCTAGTATTTCTGAGGTCCCTCTTTGTCAGACAGGCAGATGAAATTGCAGGATGTGGGATTTCCCAAATGAACAGATGATGGCTCTTGTCCTCTCATCTGTGCGGTTTGGGGAGGCTGGGTTAGGAAAAGGGAAGCGTGCCTGTGCCAGTGTTGTCGGCAAGATCACACAGGCACTGGGCAGGAGCTTCTCTCTGATGTGGTGGACTCTTGCCACACAGCATTGCCATCCTCTGTGTCTGTCTGGGAGCAATCAGGAAGCTTACTGGAAAATCTCAGTCCTGCATAGTGGTACAAGACTCATAAAGGATGCACACAAAGAAGTCTTCACATATCCTCATTTTGGTTGTGTTTCATTCACACATGTTTGAGTAATCCTTTATTATCAGACTGTCTATCTCTCCAAAGCTCAGAATGCTTTGTTCCACCTTGTGATGTCATGAAGTGTCAGTTTTCAAGCTCTATCTTACCTTTTTTCAGTAGAGACAATTAATTCCAGGGCTATGATTATCCAAATGATTCTACTGTATACATAAGTTTTATAAAGTTTAAAATCACAGTGGAGCATCACAAGGTGAAACTGTGTTTTAATTTTGAAAGAATTCAACCTTAACATGCTGAATTAATTTTAAAGTGGTACAAGGACACACATTCTTTAGTTCCCTTTCCTCATCAAAAAGAGAGGGATTAAATGAAGTCAGATTAAACTGCATGTATAATCTTCCATAAGATTAAACAATATTATTTTGTTTATTCTTGTCAAAACAAATGGCATTCTTCAAGTGATTAATTTCTCTTTTGGATGGGTCATATATTTCCAGGCAGCTCTTGCTTATGTTTGTGTTTTATTGTGACACAGGTGCAATGAGGCAGAGGCATTCTGTTTGTCTCATGTGTAATTACTAGCTGTCACCTCTTCTCCTCCTACAACCCTCAGCGCTGCGTTCACTGGCTCTGGTCCAACACACAAGTTTCTACACGCACCCAGAACAATGGTGAGTGTGTCTCACTGTGGCATAACACCATAAACATGCGTATACGTACACAGTGTGACAAGTCTGTGTGTGTCACTGTCTATTTGAGTCACTCTGAAATCAAGGCCTCTACGGCAAAGCGAAAATACAGTTAGACCTTCTTTTTTCTGCATACAACATTTTACCATTACATTTTACTTAACCATTATTAATAATAATTCAATTTGGTTGCAATTTGGCTGATGCAAAGAACCAGGCAGTTCAAATCATCAGCAGTTAAATCCCTTCACATATTTCTCCACCAGTTCTTTTATTTCTCCTGTAAATGAGCTGCTCTGAGTTAGACTGGCTGAAGTTAGACTGCCAAACTCTACCCTTCTCACTACCAATCACTCACACGCTACTAGAGTCGGCTCGTACTCACCAACATAGATGAAGTGTCTTGCCTAAGGACACAACAATAGTTTGCTCTAGAGCCATTGGTGCTTCACTGTGGCAACTATTATTCCCAGCAGTCTCCTAACAAAACTTAGTAGGTCCAACCCATCTTATCTTGAGATCAGACGAGATGGGCATTGAAGAGGTGGTATGGTAGTCTGATTCATCAGCTGGTTTCACTTCGTGGAAACAGTCTGACCTCACAGTATTAAGATTTGTTTGCTCAACGGTAGGCGAGTGCTTTTTATTTAGACAATCACTGCTATTTGGTCGTGACGTATGTAATACTCCAAATCCCTTGATAAAATTCACCAAACATTCTCTTTGTTCCAGTTTTAAATCTTCAATTTCAGAAATCGCTTCCAACACAGAATGTATGGCTTCATCTACATCCATCTCGACCTTGTTGTTTACTGTTGTGCTGTACTGCAAAAGGGACTCAGACAGGAGCTTGAGTTTGATGTCATGGCTTCACAGATCTTTGCTGATTGACCGGTGCATGGTCTAAAACTTCCAGGATTCATGCAAACCGTCTAATGTATTCCGATCCCTGACCTAGTCGCCGGAGAGAAATTAAATTGAGCAGAGGCACTAGGTAGCGCCAGCCTGGCTAGTGGTATGTCCCCATATCAAACTGAATATTTATGTATTTATTATAGATGCTGTTAGATTACATGTCCATGCCCATCTCATGCAAAATTAACTTTTCAGAGCTTTCTACCTTCTTAGAGTGTTTAGATTGATTCAGCGTTGTTTTAACAAATTGCAGCGTATTTCTGCTACCCTCTCATGTGACAATGAACTAAAGTTTGCTACAACGATGACGCAGCCAGCTACACCTATATCGCTTTTGACGTAGCAGAAGGCTCTTCGCACCCGACCCCCTCCCCCGCTCCACTGCCTCCACCCTGCCTCCACCCTCGGCTGTCAGTTCCCACATGAACACCTTAACAAAAGCGACAGCATAAGCTAATTGTTATACACTGCAGTGTACACGATATAATACGTTTATCTACTCGCGTTTATTTATACTTTACCAATCAGTAATGTTCAGCTGATGCCGACGCAGTGCTTGCGCTTCGTGCACCTCAAAGTCCTCGTCTGATTCCGGATCCAACACATGCGGCTGAACGCGCTGTATCACCATGATGAATAAAAGTTTATTCCTACCGCTATCAAGGTGCTCGCCTGTCTCCCCCTCCCTCCCTGAGATGGGCGGAGGAAGGGCGGCTCACTCAGAGCCTACGTCACGTTTGGAGGGCAGAGCCTGTGCTTTCTCAGGATGGGCGGGGGGATGAGCAATAGCCAGACTTTCACAGTTCCTTATCTGTGACTGCTTCCAAGAAATCAGTAAGATTTCATAACTATTGTGTAATGGATGTTCCAAAACCCAAATTGTGCTTGTGTATGTGCATAAGATACAATGTGAAAAGAGTTATTTTGCATGTGATGGGCTCTTTAAAGAGCCCACATTATAATATTTTCTGATCTATGTTATAATGCTGTTTCCTTAACTTGAAAACCACCACTGCATGATATCACAATGTGGAACAGAGCATTTTCAACTTTTGAGATGTAGACAGACAATAATAAAAGATTATTCAAACATGAGTGAATGAAACAAAACACAACTTTAAACATGTTTTTAATGAGGTAACAACAGGTTAAAAATCTTACATTTGTCACATTTCTACCCAGTCCTGGACGTGTGCCTGCAGCAGAGAGAGGAGAGGGTGCCCCATGGTGCCAGAGTGAAAGGGTGAGTCATTAACATGGACTTATGAGAGGAGCTGGCCATGCTTATTCCCTGAAGAGCAGTAGCTTTTTTATGGCTGCTCGAGTCTGCTGTTTATAGTCTGAGTTGGCCTTTGACTTCCCTCTCTTACTCTCCTTTTCTCCATTCAACCCTGTATTTATTAAACAGCCCCACAACCACCTGTCTAAGAGGAATTTGTGCATTCAGCTATTGGCCTAAAATCTGCTTCTCCTGTGTCCATTTTAAAAGTACGACAGTAGAGGTTCACCACCAGTCTGCTGTGGTTAAGGACAGCAAAATCCAACTCTCCTGCTTCTCTCATCATCTGGACTTTTTTCTTCCAAAATCCTCCTTTCCCCTCATTACCAAACATTGTGCCAGTATTTTTATTTTTCAGACATTCAATCAGAAATCCCCCTCCAACCCACAGCTGGCTCTGGAATGTCCTCCCTCTCAAATCTTCTATCCACTTCATCACCTCCCAATCCCCCTCTTTAATTTTCCCTCTCTTCCACCTCTGAGAGTGATTCAGAGGTACATGGAGTAGCCAAAACTGTACTGCTATGTCAAAATAATATTATTCAATTAAAATAAACTATCACCTACATCAGTACTTTGCACTTATTCTGCAGGAGAAAAAAAGGACACAGGAGAATCTGATGAAGATATGTGATAGGTATGAAGATAGAGATGTGCAAACCAAATGGTCATTTTTTTTTTCTGTTTTATTAAAAGTAGGCTACATATTTGAAGGGCTATTACGCTATTTTTTCATTTATGTTATAAAGTTGCTTCCTCATCAAAAACATACCTGTTCTGTTTTGTTTCATGTTAAAACACAACCCTGCATATTTAGGCCGAGGAAGTGCTCTCCTGTGTTTTTAAACTCCATACATAGCTGTTGACCTACCGCTTCATGAACTCCTTTTTTTTTTTACCGCAAAGGTATGTACATGTACACTTTTTTTTTTTTTTTTTACAAAAACTAATTTTTTTTTTTTTTTTAAACATTTTTTTTTACACACACAATTATGTTTTCGTTTATGGGCGATAACAATTACAAAAGTTTATCGTTTATGATCGTACAAAATAAACAGTAATGAGAATGAAAAATGGAAGGATTTTTTCACAAGGGGGAACAGTACATTATGAGCTTTGGAGATGTAGACCGACTAATAATAAAGGGTGTGTGACTAAAACAAAACACACCGGGTATGTTTTTGATGAGAGAACAATGTTCTAACATGGCTTAGAGCTCACAAGAGTCAATTGTAATATAAGACTTTTAAGCTACAAGAAGCTACACTAGTAAAAGTATAGTTCCCCCCGTGTTGGTGTGCATGGCCTGATCTTGGAAGCTAAGCAGGGATGGGCCTGGTTTGTGCTTGGATGTGAGAGGCTTCTGTCAGTGTATCCCAGGGCAGCTGTGGCTACAATAGCAGCTTACAATCACTGTAAAAGTGTGGAGTGAATGAATAATGCACCATAAAGAGCTTTGGATGTCTTGAAAGGCACTATATACTAGTAAATCTAATCTATTGTTATCAGTATTAGATAAATATTTTTGAAGTAAATGTAAGTCTTCTGTACTTTCCTTCAGGTTTTCTATCTGTCCCTTGCCGCGTTAGTGTCTGTCTGTCTTTTCATAGATGGTATAAGTGAGGGGCTTACACAGGGAGAGAGGTGCGTGTCACTGCCAAAGCTCACAAACTGCTCGCTGTCCACACAATGAGTTGCCGTGGAGATAGGATCACATTTAGTGCGGTTGGATCTC